CTCGAAAGCCAGTCGAATCCGACTCTAGGGTTGCGGTGCTCATCTCCGTTTCAAATCCAAAGAGCCAGCGCTGTCCGAAGACGTTTCCGTGGTCATGTGGCCGGCATGACTAAACACCAAGGCACACGGAACGCTGTTACCTTCCCACTGAAGTGGTACCTATTTATCTACTTGCAATTTCTTGCTTTCGAACTGCTAGGTTGGCAGGAGCTGGGACTAGAGACGGGCGCTCAGTCCGTCATGTGGCAACTCGGGTCTCAAACTGCTGAACTAACGACCTTCCACAGCCTGCAGTTCAGCGTATTAACCACTTGAGCCACCGCAGCTTCTCGAGATTACTGGATATCAATTTCCAAAAAACTCTGGAAATATTTGGGAACATGAGAAAATATTCGGGAACATCGAAAAATATTCAAGGTTGGCATTTTAAGGCTCCCAGGCCTGTTTTTCTTCATTACAGGTTCTCAAAGCAACAGTAAGTAAGGGGAGGGAGGAACCTCTCCGAGGCAATGGGATCAGACGTTGTGGGGAGAACTTCTGTGGAGAAAATAAATATGGTACCAAAAATGTTGCTCTTGCCACTTTCATAAAGAAAAGAAAAACCCCACAATAGTGAAACACGAGATTTTAGGAAATGAAAAGAGTATCTTAAGTTAAAACAAGCAGAAGCAAATTGCACATAGATACCTAAATTTATTGCTTCTCTGTTTCTTCTTTACAGGGGTGGCAGGAAACAGAAGCAACAGTGATGAAGAGCTGTTGGTTCTGTTGGGCTTGCCACACTGTCCCTGGGTTCTGCTGGGATTTTCTGGTTTAATATTGGTTGTGCTGGGCTTACAACATTGTCCCTTGCTTACTTTGGTTCTGATGGGATTCTCTGGCTTGACATTGAGTCTGTCGGTTCTGTATGCATTGGAGGCTTCTGGCCAGTGGTTGCTCTTGCATGTGTGTTTGATTATTGGCTTCTTTGAATTTTCCCCCCATAGGAAACAATGGAGACAAGTAGGATAGCTGGGGTTACCTTGCTCAGGGGCCCCTAGAACTGGACCTCTTTGTCCAATGTGTTCACCTGAATAATTTCAGAATTCCCCATCCCCCATGAACCCAAATCCCAAAATGGTATTGGGGGACCCAAATCCCCCCAAATACTGGTATTTACGCCCTTCCCAAAATCCGAATTTAAAAAACACAATTTTTTTTAGGTGCACGTCCCTCATTATATGTACACCATTGCATTCAACTTTCCTCTGACATTTAATTTAAATAAAAAATAGCCACTGGAGGTTGCACAGAAGCAGAAGAGGGGTGGGTTGCAGATACAGTTAATCATATATTTTCCCCAACAGGAAGAACAGCAAATAAAGGGTTGATTTTGAGTGAAAAACAGCTGGAAATAAAAGATTAAACCAACCCGATCTTCCACATGTCCTTTGCTTGACTGCAATCTACCAAGGCTAATTTTCATTTTTTAAAATGCCAGAGTATGTCACATGCAAGAATTCTAACTTATACTTTGGCCCATTGACAGTGTCACTTAACCAGGCAAATTACCTAAACAATGACAAGATGAGGCTGGGAACTGAATCCTGCATTTTCCAAACAGAACTGAGAACAAGTTGGTGTAAAACTACAAAGAAAAAAAGATCCTTATTTGTGCTGGGATCATACTGTACTCAGAAGGAAGAGAAGCGGCATTAGTCAAGTTCTCGTATCATTCTGTTCACAATATAAAACAACCCAATAAAGGGTTTAAAAAAAACAACAACCCAGCAGCATAAAACAGAAAAAGCACTGTGGCGTGAACTTTTGCAGACAACTGTTGCTGCCAAATGGCTACCAATTAAAAGAACACAAACATATTTTTAAGCAGCAAAATACCCACGATTTTTTTTAACTAGAAAGCCAACATTTGTTTTAATTTACCAAACACAGTTGCTATGCTCTGACGTGACTGAAGCTAATAGCACCTTACAAAATGGATTGCATAATCAGCTGCCTGGCACAGGAACACAGGCAAGACACTGCACAGGTAATACACAATTCACAATAAGCTGGCATGCCAGCAACATGATGGACAAGCAAACATGTACTATGGAACGAATGTGATCCTTTACTTCTATGACACATATGCCAACCGTCCTCAGCCCTCTATGAGCCCATCAACTATCCACGTCATTTCCTTGTAGCCAGTCGATGCACAAATACAGAATTACGGCATTCTGAGAAACCTTGGCTATTGTGTTCAAAATACATGTTTCTAATCCACATGGCTATGAAGAAATGCTTGGAAGAAGCAGTGTTAAGAAGAGACACCCACATCCTATGAAAACTTGAAACCTGGAAGAATTATGCAAGAACATTTACTTAACATACCTGGAGCCCATCATTCAGGTTCATTTTGGTATAAAATATGGATATTTTAAGGAAAAAATAGACATCAATACAGGTTGATCTATAACTGCGAAGATTTTGCTGCCCCAAGTGTGCACACTCACACTACACTGACTTCTCTGACAGCCACATGGTGTAGTGCTTAGAGTGTCTGACTGGGACCTGGGAGATCCAGGGCTGAAGGCCAACTCTGCCATGGTAGCTTGCTGGTTGAACTTGGGCTATGTACATATTCTCATTCTAGCCTTCCTCAGAGGGTTGTTGTGAGGATAAAATGGAGAAGGGGAGAAACCTGTACACCACTTGGGTCCCAATTGTGGAGAAAAGTGATGTATAAATAAAGTACACAAATACATACTGGATTTCCAAACGAATAAACTTTTGACAAACTCAGCTGTTCTTCACAGCCTGATCTCTCAGTATAGGGATGGCCAGATTTGGAGCCAGATTAACTCTCTCTCAATACTTTCTTTGCCTCTGCTTAGCAAAATATCACAAAACCCTTACTGGCAACCGAAAGTCCATTTTAAAGTCCAAAGCAAAAGGAAAGTAAGGGCATGGGGGCAACTGCCACCCAATCAGAAAAGAGGCAAAGAAGGAATAGCTAGGCGATGGAAAAAAGAAGTTATCCAGTGAATTTCTGCATGAGAATAGATGAATGAAAAATAAAATTGGAATTAAAATAAATGAAGAAGGCTCAGTTTTATACCCCACTTTTACTACCTGAAGGAGTCTCGAAGCGGTTTACAATTGCCTTCCCTTCCTCTCCCCACAACAGGCATCCTGTGAGGCAAGTGGGGCTGAGAGACTTCTGAGAGAACTATAACTGACCCAAGGTCACCCAGCTGGCTTCATGTGGAGGAGTTGGGAATCAAACCCAATTCTCCAGATTAGAGTCCATCACTCTTAACCACTACACCATGCTGGCTCTCTCTGGAAGCCCTGGAAATGAACGGAAGGAAGAAACGCACCCATAGCAGAAGAAGCAGAAATCCAAAATAATTCTGAAACTAAGAGGAATCGTAATTAGAAACCCAAAAAAGTTGGGGAAAGAAGAAATACCTTGCAAAGGTAACATAAAGCATCAGCATCTTGTCTTTTCCTTTTCTCTTAAGTCAAGGGACATCATAAAGCAAGAACTTAAGAGGTGCCCTGCTGGATCAGACCAGCAGTCCACCTAGTTCAGCATCCTGTTTCACACACTGGCTACCAGTTGCCAAAGCCACAGGGAAAATAGGGTTACTAATGACTTTCTAGTGGGAGACAAAGGCCATGTCTACATGGGTTATCTGCCCTGGGTACAATTCTTTTGGGTAATGAGAGGGGGTTTTTTGTGCTTCCCCACAGCATCGTGGAGCATTCAGGGCTTGCCCCAGCTTTCCTCCAATGTTTCTCAAACCTTTTTTGCTGTGAAATTTTGGGAAAGATCATAGTAAAGCCTAAACAGTTGCTGAGTGGGTAGGAAAACTCAGACTTCCCCACCTGCCATTTCCCCTGCCCTGCCTCCTCCCACCACGGCCATTCCCCCACCCCATCTCTCCCCACCAGGGCCATTTTCTCCCCACCACCACCACTGAAAGGCTTTTTATTTATTTATTTTTAAAATTAAGAAGTAGGAGATTCTTCAAGCCCCTGGGGTTTCTTTGATTTTTTTTTAATCAGAATTTGAATATCATTATAACACTACAGCAATATGTCTAACAGGTTCCCTGAATTTCCAGCTTTCATCTTTAAAAAGTAAGTACCTAGCATCTTTAGCTCAGACAAATAAGGAGAAAGACATATCTCTGCAACCCAGAGAAACGAAAAGAGAGGAATTCAGAGAACTTGTTACACCTATTGTTATACCACTATAATAACATTTAATGGCTGGTTTAAAAAACAAAACACAAAAAACTTAAAAAGCTCCAGTGGTCCATGGAGGGTGGGTGGCCACTGCTGGCGGATTGGGGCAGGGAAATGTGCCATGTAGAAGCCCAATGTGCTGAACTGGCAGCCAAAGAGATGGATAAGGAGAGAATCTAAAAATAATAAATAGGTTATTAAAAGTCTTGATTGAGGTGTGTGTTCCTAACTGGGGATGGATATCGGGGTACGGCTGGGTTTGGGGGGACAACCCAGCAAAGAGAGAAGCAGACCTCCCAAGTAAGTGAAAAGAGATGGAAAGCTATCTGCAACACAGCAGGCATCAAGAAATTAAGAATCCCCCGAGAGTAAGAAGGGGGGGGGGCTAACACAAAGGGAGATGGATGCC